GGAAAAACCACTCTTGTTGGTGGGATGGGGAGAGAGGGGGGGGAGGTTCCGGAGGAAGGGGATGTGGGTCTACCTGTGGCTGATTCTTGCTGATGTATGACAGAAAACCACAAAATTCTGTAAAGCAATTATCCTTCAGTTAAAAGAATAAAGTGGCAGAAAAAAAAGAAAGCCACGCTTGTTAAGTCTATGAAATTATTGAGTATAGACAATACAAATATTATAATGTACTTTTTTTATAAATACACATGGGACTAAAGCATCCAAAAACTGCAGGACAATTGAAAAGCACTTGAAATATCATTTTGCAAAATCCAACTTTGACCACTAAAGAGATATATTCTTTAGTCTAAGATGTGAACTGTTGAAATAACTTTATACCTAACACAAAGCAAAGGAAAAAAAAAAGACCCAAGAAAGGATTTAAAGATACTTTTAAATAGATTGCAGGAAGGGAGCTTTCTAACCCTGTTTTCTTTTACTTATACTTATACATAAACAATGCAAGATGTCTTCCAAACTCTAAATTCTTGAAATTTTACAGCATACCATTAGATGAGTATATAGGGTAAATTGAGCACCAAGATTGTGCAGAGACAGTACTATCACTCTAGGTTCTATGAGTAGGTAAACTGAAACACTTCAGGAATAGAGAAATAGTTCACACAATCATATCAGTTTCTAAATTATAAAACTAAAGTATAGAAAGGTATACAACTTCATCCAATATCACAGACACTGAATTCTGCCTGAACTCTTGGACTCTATATTGGGCAATAGGATTCCTTCGAAGCACTGAGTCTCTCTCTCTCTTTCCAATATTTAGCATGTCAGGCCATCCAGATATAAAATACAGAATTTAATATCAATACAACAATGTTTCTAATGCTTACAAGGTGAGAGAAGGTTTATATCTGACACATTGGTGCCAGATTAAATTGAATTTTTGCTTATCTGGAGCTATAAGACAAGATCTTTAGCATGACAAGAACTTTATCATCCTTAATGAACTTTCCCTATCAGACAGGATCTCAAGTCCAGAAAAGCAAGATATTTTCAATTTGAGTGAGTGACTGGCCACCTGTATTCTGTCCTGGCCTCTTCCTTGCAACATGGTACTCATCAATTGAGGAATTGCAGATTAGGGGTCTTAAGGGTAGCACATGTGGACAAAATGCTAATATTTGAATTAGGATTTTAGGCATTTTTATTAAGAACTAAAAATATTTCTCTTATGCACATTTTTATGTTTTTTAGGTACATGTGAAACCTAGATTTTACAAATCAGTTCAATACTTAGTCAGTAATTAGAGAATCAGAGTAAGGTTTTGATTTTTCTGACCTTCATTTTTTTCCCTTTAAGCATCCTGATATTGATCGAACTCCCATTTTGTGTGACATCCCTGCAAACCCAGCATTTAATTTAATTGATTAACGTCGAATACAAATAGCCCGAGGGAGTATCTCTTCTAAGAGAAGAGATGCATGACAATGTGTGTGCGCGTCAATTCTTATGTACAGCTGTCACCACATGTGCAGACGCGGAACACGAGCAGTTTTCAGCAGCTTATTTAAAAATATTGTGGGGCATTAAAAATAACATTCTCCCAAAATACCAATACACTACACAGGACAATTATGCCATGTATCTGCAGCTTGCCTTCCTTCTCAATAGGACAACTGTTTGGAGCAAGAGATTCCTGTTTGCATGTGATAATGCATTCTGAACATCATTAAACAAAGAAGACAGCATTCCATGTCTCTAAAGCACTTTCAGAAAAAATACAGATAAAGTTTGAAATCTAATGTTGAATGAATATTTTCTCTAAAAAGAATGCTTTGCTTCATGCCAGAGGTCAAATTGAACATAATACCTGGGTAAATTTGATCCTTGAGGGGTCATTGAACTAACAGTGTCCTCGGCAAGAGATCAGACATAAGTTATCTCTCCCATAACAAACTACTATCTAACAAGAAAAGAAGAAAAACAAACAAACTGGGAGCAATAGGCGATACATGCAAACAACCAATTAAAACTATATACCTATGCAAATGCACATACATACAATATAGCTCTGAGAAGATAGGAAATTTGAAAGGTTTTTAAAAATCGTTACTAAAATCTGTGACATTTACCAGTTCGACCTGGATGGGAAACTACTGATGTTTCAAGGAATGGGGTTTTGATTGAGTTTTAAAGCAAAAATCCTTTCTGCTGTTCTAGAGGAGAACAGACACTTGTACACTCACAAAAGGCCACATACACCTGGGGAGGGAAAAGATGCACAGAGATGATGAGCCATGTGCCAGGGGGAAGATCTGAGTTTTAGGAAGGGTGGAGGGCTGGTATAACGATGCGTCACTGAAGTCTCATGTCCAAGAGACTCAAAGGAATAGATTTCCAAACTAGATATTATGACCAAAAAAACAGGTTTCGCTGCACGGATTATCAGTTTCCAATGTTAAATGTATTCTTGTCAAAATTTTTCTTGGAAAATCAGAAACCTATCTGTAGGCTACACTTTCCTAGTACATATTTTAAGGAGAACATTCCAGTTTCTAGTTTCAGAAACTAGTAAAAATAGAAGCAAAAGAAAAAAAAAGGAATTCTGGCAATAATCTTATGCCTTCATTGAAATGCTTATCCTGTGTTTTCTATTTCTTGGTAAAACCATAGCACACTTCTGGATGCTAACTAAGGATTGACCACCATGGTGTTCTTGTTAATAAGCTTTTAAAATAATCATAGCTTAGGAAAGTATAAAGAACTTTTGAAGTTCAGTTCCTAAAAACACTCTACATTTGCAAATGCTCAAACATCAGCGTGTGTTAAGTGGCTCAGTCATGTCCAACCCTGTGCGACCCTGTGGACTGTAGCCCACCAGGCTTCTCGGTCCATGGGGCTCTCCAGGCAAGAATAATGGAGTAGGTTGCCATTTTTCCCCCAGGGGATCTTTCCGACCCAGGGATTGAACCCACATCTCTCATGCCTGCTGCACTGGCGGGGGGTTTTTTACCATCAGCGCCACCTGGGGAGCCCGCAAACATTAGTGAGTGACTTGCAACAAACACATAAATTCAAGAGATCTAATTCAACCTAGTGACTATAGTCACAATACTGTATTACCCACTTCAAAGTTGCTAAAATACAAGATCTTAATTATTCTCACCACAAAAAAGAAGAGATAAATGTGTGCTCTGGTTGAGGTGTTAGCTGACATTACAATCCTAATTTCAGAGTTAGAGGTGAGGCTGAACCCAGTGCGTCATGTAGATCTCAATGCTGAAGTTTAAAGAGATGTAGGAATAAGGAGTCAGTCCTTATTAATAAGGATACAGGATACATTGTATCCCTCCAGTATTAATCATCTTTACAAATTACCTACTTTCCGAAATGTCTACTATACTCTAAAATCTTTTCTTCCTCATCTTATCTGAGCTCCGATTTTAATCTCTTCAGAAATTCTATAAGCCTTACTTTTTCTTCCCAACCACACTTCATGCAGATGTCAATGTCTGAAGCTCATTGCTTCCATTTCCACCATCATTCCCTCATCAAACATTTTTGTTTCCTCTTTGGACACAATTTTGTTTGCATAGGTATACAACAAAGGTTCACAAGGTTTTTCTCTTAGTTCAATCAATTTAAAAGCTCATGGTTTTAAAGGATCAACGGATGTCAAATCAATCACTAACCCCGCATGTGACTGAGAAAAGTAAGATACTTATACAAAATGTTCGTAGTAATATTCATTGTTATGAATTGTATTCCCTAAGTGTTCTCTTATGATTTTTCATGGCTATTATTGTTTTATTAAAAAAAAAACCTGTGGCCTATTTATGATTAATACTTATTAAATTTATTTTTTATACCATAGTCCAAAAAAATTTTTTTTTCAAGATCTATACTACCACAAGCAGGATTCCCACATAGCTTCAAGACTTCAAGCTATTTGTCAACATGGCAAATCAGCATTCTTTCCCATTCCCATATAGCTTCAAGACTTCAAGCTATTTGTCAACATGGCAAATCAGCATCCTTTCCTATCTATCTTTATATTGCAGTATTTCATATTTCAATATACATTTTTCATTTATCTAGCAAGTATTTCTGAAGAAATAAAATAAACCAACAAATCTATTTAAAAATAATAACTGAGAATTAAAAAGTGCTAATTAATATCTATGTCATCATTACAATCCCGTCTACTGTTGTCTTTCTCTCAGTTAATCAAAAGCTAACCAAACACATGATTCATCAAATATCTGTTGAACATCAACGAAAAACAAATAGTTATGTTTAATTCCATGAGAAAACTAAAATATCAAAATATACTAACATTCACAAATACCACATAAAGAGTGATGAAATCAATTTGGCCCAAGGTTTCAAATATAAATTTGCTACAGTATATTCCTAGAATATGCTAAATAATCATTATTAAAACAGTAAAATTAAGTTACATCTGTTATATCATTGCAGAGTAATGTTCATAATTTTGTGAATAAGTAAAATAATTTATTGAATATAAATGGATTATAAATACAATTAAGTGAATTAATTCATTCACAAATAGAAATAATTACAAATATATTAAAAATTATTCACAAAAAACTATTCAGTAATAGAAATAGAAATTATATAAATTAAATTATAATAAGTAATTACTTCTATTAGCAAATAGTTTTTCTGTGTATTATATGTAATAAAATTATCATTTGGCCAAAAACATAAAAAAAAACAAGCTGGTGTGAATCTCATTGCTACAGATCAGCTTTTCTCTCAATGATATAATAATTTTAATTTGACATTTCAGGGTAAGTAAATTTGGATACTACACAGATAAAGATATTGTAGATGAATGTTAGGTTTAGCTTTCAGTAATTCTTAGTATTAATATTAGTATTAATATTAGATTTAACTATTTCTGCCAGTGGTCTAGTCCTAAGTAAAAGGTCTTTGAAGAAACGACACATTTTAGGAACAGAAGAAAACTCACCTTATTACAAAATTGTGACTGTCGATCTCTTTTCCACACTCACTATCTAGCAGAATGCCAGAGTTTCCAACGACTGCGCAGGTCTTAAATCTGCGGTTTTTCATGGGTGAAACTTCAGGTAGGAGGCTGTGCAGATCCTGGGAGATATTTAGCGTCCGACGTCTGTCCAGCACATAGTGTATGACGTCTCCAGGCTTAAAGCTGCTCTTGACGACGGAAACATCTCGTTCAGCATCTAGGAAACGAAGGATGTTCTTCCTGTATTTGAGATACAAGCGAAATTTCCCATTAACCACAACGCATCCAAGGACTGGTGACACGTTATTGATGGTGGGGGCGGGGGGGGGGGAGGGGGATTTTTGTAGAAATTAATGCCCGTGGCAAGCAATTTGCTATGTAAGTGAAACTGAAACATCTCTGGTCAATAATGTTCAGGTAACAAAACGCGTCGCTGGTCAATAATGAGGTAATATCATTTATAAAGGAAAATATTTGGTAATTAAACCCACAAATTAAGTTGATACTACAGGAAATAAAGTATATTTTTAAAAAGTCATTTGCACATAGTTCCTCAATGATTCTGTAAGCAGATATACATTATACACACCTATATGTGGAGTGAAAAAGGCCCCCTATCTATCAAACAAAAAATTAATTTATTAAATGAAATACTATTGCCATGACTTGACTTTCCTGAGCCTGATAGTATTCTGCCAACATTTATTAATTATCCATAATCATCTATTTTGTTCAATATAGTTAAGGTGCATAGAAGAAACTTGAAATTGTTTGGAATTATACTTTAGTTAACTCTTTATTAAAGGACTGAATGTTCCAATAAGATTATTGACATTTACCAAATCATGTATATATCGTTATTATTTGAAGTAATGTTAAAATTACTGCAATATGTACTTCTGAAAGTTTTCCTCCAAGCTCAAGAATCCTGGAAATAGGATGGCTATATTAGAGGAAAACATGGTCAGATAGAATACTGGACCTTGCAGGCAGAGACAACTCACTGTTCCTGTATTCTTTCTTCCCTTCTCTCCTTTCTTAATCAAACCTTCTAAGTTTTACTTGGGGACACAGATGCTCAGCTAGAACATGTCCGAGTTTCCAAACCCAAGTATAGCTGGATTTGGTCATCTGAGTTACTTTTCTTAAATAGGGTATGAGTGGATCAAGTATATTCCTATAGGAGAAAGAAAGAAACTTCCAAGTTGTTTGACTGGCCCACTGTATTTTTTAAAAGTTTTAATCAGAGGATACTTGCTTTACATTGTTGCGGTAGTTTCTGCTATACAACAACGTGAATCAGCTGTAAGTACACACATTATCTCCTCCCTCTTGAACCTCCCTTGCACCCACCCACCCATTCCACACCTCTAGGTCATCACACCACCCAGCTGAGCTCCCTGTGACCCACTGTATTTAAAGTCTCCTTTCCATGGAAGCTTAGCTTATCCCCTAACTACTAAAGAAATTGGTTAACAGATGTGAGAAGCTACATAAATATACATGCATTTATGTTAAGTTAGATGATGGAAAATGAGAAAGTAGATACAGCTGCCTGGAAAGCTGGTGACTCCTGGCATGATACAGGATAGCACCTGCTAAAACTGTGGTCTGTAATAACCTGAGAGTCATATTCTACATATAATAACTTGTTGCTGTTGGATAACTATGTTGGTACCCCTTTCAGCAAGGCACTAAAAGAGGTTAAGTCAGACACGAAACAGACAAGTTGCAAGCTGAGATAGAAGGAAGTAACTCTAGCAGTGGCTTACAATTTAAATTGTGTGAAAGTTCAGTAGTAGGGACCTCCCAAATGTCTCCAGTAACACATGGACAGAGGAACCTGGCAGGCCCCAGTTCACGAGGTCACAAAGAGTCAGACATGACCAAGTGACTTTCACTATATGTTAATAAAGAAATATTTATGAATCTGGCTTACAAAAGTCTAAGATTGTTTGATCCTTAAGTTACCAAACAGAGACCCACAAGAAGCAATCTGAGAAAGCAGTCTTCTGAGTTGGAAGTTGGATATTATTTACTGAAGTGCTCTTAACTGCAAGCTTGAATTTTCAGAAAGCACAAAACAATGTCCTTATTATAATATTCATGATAATGATAGACACATTTTCCTCTAATGATATTACTGTTTAAGCTTCATCACTATTTGTAAGTTTTATTATTGAGCAAAAAATATGATCTCTTCCTAACACTCCACCAAAAGGGAAATTCCCCGCGATTCCTACTTATGAGCCAGAAGCATGACTAGCAAAAAGGGATGTAAAACAACTCATATCTTTGCTTATCACCACTCTAATGACAGAAAGTAAAGAGGAACTAAAGAGCCTCTTGATGAAGGTGAAAGAGGAGAGTGAAAAGGCTGGCTTAAAAGTGAACATTCCAAAAACTAAGATCATAGCATCTAGTCTCTTCACTTCATGGCAAATAGAAAGAGGAAAAGTGGAAGCAGTGACAGATTTTATTTTCCTGGGCTCCAAAATGACTGAGGATGGTGACTGCAGCCATGAAATTAAAAGACACTTGCTCCTTGGAAGGAAAGCTATGACAAATCTAGACAGCGGGAACTATGCCTTTTCCAGTAATCATGTACAGATGTTAGAGTTGGACCAAAAAGAAGGCCAAGTGCTGAAGAACTGACACTTTTGAACTGTGGTGCTGGAGAAGACTCCCAAGAGTCCCAAGTCAGCAAGGAGAGCAAAGCAGTCCATCCTAAAGGAGATCAGTCCTGGGTGTTCATTGGAAGGACTGTTGGTGAAGCTGAAGCTCCAACACTTTGGCCACCTGATGTGAAGAGCTGGCTCATTTGAAAAGACCTTCATGCTCAGAAAGAATGAAGGCAGAAGGAGAAGAGGGCACTAGAGGATGAGATGGTGCATCACCGACTCAATGGTTATGAATTTGAGCAAACTGAGAATTAGTGGAGGACAGAGGAGCCTAGTATGCTACAGTTGCATGGGGTCACAAAGAATGGGACATAACAGCTACTGAACAACAACAATCTTTCCTTTTCACTTATTTCTTAACTGGAATATAACTGCTTTGCAGTGTCTGCTCTACAACACGAATCAGTTATATGTATACATATATTCCTTCCCTCTTGAGCCTTCCTCCAACCTACCCCATCCCACCTGCCTAGATCATCACAGAGCAACAAGCTGAGCTCCTTGTACAATAGAGCAGCTTCCCACCAGCTGTCTCTTTACACGTGGTAGTCAAGGTGTAATTGACATTACAGATGTCAGTACTACCCTCTCAATCCGTCCCACTCTCTCCTTCCCCCACCACCTCCACAAGTGTGTTCTCCACGTCTGCCTGTCTATCCCTGCCCTGCAAATAGGTTCGTCAGTACCGTTTTTCTAGATTCCATATGCATGTGTTAATATGTGGTACTTGTGTTTCTCTTTCTGATTTACTTCAATCTGTATGACAGACTCTAGGATCATCCATATCACTACAAATGGCCCTCACACTGGTCAGAATGGCCATCATCAAAAACCATCGAAAACAATCAATGCCGGAGAGGGTGTGGAGAAAAGGAAACCCTCTTGCACTATTGGTGAGAGTGTATATTGATACAACCACTATGGAGGTTCCTTAAAAAACTAAAACTATAATATGACTCAGCAGTCCCACTACTGGGCATATACCCTGAAAAAACCTTCATCCTTTGGTTTTATTTTGGTTTGCTTTAAATACATCCCACTTTAATGTGTGATCTAATTAGGAAACCAGATGGCTGAATATTTTATTTGTCCAGATTTGATACACAAGGAATATGCCCATCCACTTCGAAAAAAAAAAGAACATTTTTTTGAATTTTTATCAAATATTTGGATTATCAGCTTCTTAAGGAGTAAAATTTATATAGGAAAATGTATATAAATGCCCTACAAATGAAAATTTAAAATTAACAAACATTATAAGGCGTCATAATAGTCATCTTAACAAAGTACAGACTACATCAGAAGAGAATCGCTGGTGAAATCAGCAACCATGGAGCATATGAATTGCAGAAAATTGAGAAGCCTTTCATTATGTTAAGCACGTGTGATTCTTCATAAAAGTTAACTAGCGCTAAGAGCAGCAATCAACTTTTGTACATATTAACTCCCACTTACTTCTCTGGTGAAAAAATTAAGTAATGCCTGATACCTGTATTTTAACAAATTTTTTTTTCATTTCCTGTGAAAATGACAAGCTTGACTTTAAAGACTGCACGGATGTGGTCGAATTGACAAACTAGATGATGTTTATCATTTTCCTTTGAACATAATTTAAAGGAGTTGCTGTAGGTATTTGAAGATGTAACTCAGGAGTTGTGGTACGCTTGCAAGCCTAAGGTAAACAGATTTCAGGTCCAGCTTTGAAAGAGGACTCTTCAGCTTGGAAATCCAAAAGGGGAAAATCCCCTTACTCATAACTTAATGAGTTATGAGTAAATGCTTTTAAATTAAGTAAAAACTTAAATGCTTGTCAACTGATGGCAAGAGGGACTTTCCAATCGCAGTATCTTTGCTGTGCTATAAAAAGTTAGCAGCAAAAATATTTTCCAACACAGGTCCCTAAATCTCTGAGTTTATATAAGAGAACACTTCATTCATTCTTAGGGAAAATTGATATTTAAAAAGTAGACTCTATGAGTTCAGGAAAAAATAATGCTTAGTGTGATAAATAAGTACAGATGATATTATTGTATGTATTATTCCAATGCTGTCTTACAGGCTCAACAGTGTTGTTTTTTTTTTTTTAATGGAAGCAGTAAAAATAGTAAAAGTACTTTACAAAACAGAATACAAAACACCAATTCACACAGACTAATTGAAATATGAAAATGTAAGCTTCTTAGATAAAACTCAGAACAATTGTTGCCATAGAATTCGCTTTTTTAAACTGAAAAGGGGAGGTGGACCTTGAATGTCTCCAGCTTATTCTTTTTCCTACACTGAACCAAACTTTTCATTTCTATGGGCTTAAACCTATGCTTTGAAAATTATCTGAGCTAAAATTCTTGGTGTAGGGTGCAATAAAGACTGAAAATAATTACAATGAGTGAAAATATTGATGAAAATGCTTGATATTTGTTTGGAAACAGTAAAGAAAATTTAGTTGGTTTTTTTTTTTCCTCCCCAGTAGGCTGTATTTTTTAGATTATAGATTTAATGTACTATAAAAATTCTATGGATTTTGCTAGGTCTAATTATTGTTCAGACTATAAATCTATT